CAGAGCCTCAGCACGCTCCGTGCTCTGGCTGAGCTGCTCCCGAGTCCTGGCTGCCCTGGGCTGTGTGGCAGAGCTGCACCCCTGCCTGGGGCACCCAGGCCCAGGGGTCACTGCCAGGGGTGACACAGGAAGGTACCTGTCACCAGTGCTGCTGGTGGCTGAACCATTCTTCCCAAACTCAGAAACTGGGCAAACACATGGATCCTGGAGGATCCTTCCTGGGATCCTTGAGGGATCCTTCCAGCTGAAGGAGTGAGCTTCTACCAGAGCTCCGTAGCTCAGGGGCTTTCTGAGCTGACACATCCCTCAACAGCTACACAGAGATATTTGCCACACAGTGAAGTCCCTGAATCAGGGCCCTGGTGGGTCACTTGTCCCCAGACAGAGCTCAGCAGGATGCTACAGCTGCCATCAGCCTCTGCACGATTGTCCCTTGCTGGCTCAGGCAACTTCAGCTTTGGTCACATCTCTTCCTTTGGTCAGAGCTGCACAAAGGACAGAGTTTTAAAGTAAATGTATTTTACCAATACTTTTCAAGTCCTTTCTTCATTCCTTCCTTCCTTTGGTGTATGAGTCATTCCAGCAAACCTATCATGCTTTAAATTAATTGGGTCTTGGAAGGGAACAGAGATAATGAGCCATTCCAGGATGGCATTTCTTAAAAGCCAGGGAATGTACAGCAGAGAGGAGGGTGCTGCCTGAGTCTTCCTCACCTTGTCAAACATATCCACCTCTTTCCTGAGCTTGTGATAGGGTCTGTGCAGTGTCTGACAGCTGCTGGCCTCCACTCCAGACACCTCTGAAGGGAAGCCTCTGACAAAGTCCTGCTTGCAGAGCTGCAGCTCTCTGGCCTCAAACCAGCCATGTGCTCGCACAGGGGCTGGGTTCAGATGCTGGGAGAGGTGTGTGAGTTTGGAACTTTTCAACAAAGGTGAGAATGGTCCTTGTGAGCTCAGTGCAGTGGGGGTGTGAGTGTGGCTGGCACGTGGTCCCACCTGGATGTGGGGGTGTCTCTGCTCACTGCTCCTGTACCTGTGCAGGAGGACTCAAAGAAGCTCTGGCTGGTGCCCCCACAGAGTGAGCTGCAGGCAGGGATGAGGGCATTAATATCCCCAATAACAGCCCCCATATTCCCAATAACAGCCCCCATGCACACCACACACAGAAAGTGACTTACCCCTTCCACTCTTTGCCAAGATCCTTTCGTTAGCAAAGAGTTTTATATTAAGGAAAACAGGATTTTTTTGGTTTTGTTTTGTTTGTTTGTTTACTTGTTTTTCTGTCTTGACTACCACATGGAGGGGGGAGAAGAACCTCCTAAAAAGAAAACACCATACAGAGTGTTCAAGGCTCAGAGGGTTCTGAAGCTGAGAGTTCACCCCAGCAAAGGACAATGAAATTGATGGGTTGAATTCCCACACAGATGGGCTGCACCAAACCAAAGGGCAGACTTTGATGGCCCAAGCCACGGCCAGGCTGGAGCAGTCAGAGCTGGTAGGACAGCACAGGTAGGAGCTGGCTGTTACCTGCTAGGGTTTCACATCCCATTGAAAATCAGGGTGCCAGCAATCAGACAGGAATTGGGTGTGCTGTCAGTCATTCTGTATGGCTTTTTTCCAAGGAGAAGAAAAAAAATAAAGTCTGAAGATCCAGCCCCAGTGGGCCACTAGACAAAGCCCATCAGAGTGGGGAGGGGGCACAGTTATAATGGTAGATTGTAATAGATAGATACAATCTAGAATAGATAGTTCTCTTTGTTCTGTCACCCAAACCTTACAGCTGAACCTCAAGGACTATCAAATCCATTATAAAGCTTTTCTCTTCCAACTACCCTGAAGTTGCATTATTAGTAGCTATTATGCAATTACCATTTGTATTTTGAATAATGAAGTCTAAATTGTAACTGTTCACAGGACATCAATTTCAATTGCTATGGCATTATTGCTCTTTTCTTATTTCTCCTTTTGAAGCCCATTTTGTACAAGGTGCCTCTCCACCCACTCGCCTGTGCTGAAGCTCAGAGCCAGTCAGAGCACACGATAACAGCAGGCTCTGGCCCGACCTAATGCACATGAAAGCACTGTTCCCATGTCAGTGGCAACTGATGCCACATCATACTCTGACCCTGGGGAAATTGAGCTTTGGTTATCATGGACGACTATTTGCACTTCCCAGTTCCTGCCTCCTGAATTTTAATTTGATTTAAGTTGGAAGATGAGTTTAAAATTTGATTGCAGTTTCTGTTTTATATGTGCAATATCCATTGTTTAGAAATGTGGTGTGTCCATGCCAGGTGAGAGGAGCCTGAAAGCCTCTGTGGGGCTGCTGAAAGCTCGGGTGGGAGGAAGGTTCCAGAAGCACTCAGAGAGCCAGGCTCAGGTGGAAGTGCCTGGTGCTGAAGCTCTCACCCTGCTGCCACCTCAGGCAAACCCGAGCTGGGCTCTGACACGTGTCTGGGCTGTGCACATTAGTAGCACATGCAATGTAAAACTTGGTAATTAATATTTCAGGGGCTCAGCTATACTTTCTGTATCCTAAAATCTAACAGACACCAATGTCTGAGGGCAAAAGTAGTTCTGCAGTTCCTCAGTTCCAAAGCCTCTGGTGCCTGTGTATCTGCACTTTTATTATTTCTTCTAAAAGGACCTTCTGACATTTAAGAGTAAGACACAAGAAAGAAAGGCACTGAATACCTTTAATACCTCCTCTATGCAGTCTCTTCAGAGACAGGCAGGTAACTGGAATTTTGCTCAAGAAGGACAGGGAAAAAACTATAACAATTTTATTCCACAACACAACCATTCCTGCTCCTGGAGTGTTTTCTGACAGATAAAAACCAGACATGCATCACGCAGAGACTCGCCTAATGACATGGAACACATGGGGCTGGCAGCTCCCTCAGGGGTCCGAGGGCAGGAGAGAGAGGCTGGCTGGGATTATTGCTCTGTAAGGGATCAAGCCTTAACTCCTTAGCCAGTGGGGGCCTGAGTGTTTCAGGAGGTCCTAGCACATACTGTAGTTTGATAATTTGCACCAGGAGAAAGCTAACATGCCTGGGTAATTTTGCTGGAAATATGATTAGACTAAACTCAGCTCTCCTCTTCTGAGCTTGCAGCTCTAAAGCCAGTGCTAATACATGCCAGCAAGAACAGCATGGGAGGATAATGAAACAGCTCTTTGCATGCACAAGATTCTCACAGCCACAGTGAGAATTGCTTCAGGGGGACTAAAAAGTAGCAGAAACCTCCCAGATCATCTTGCTATAGTGGTAATAAACATTCAGTGTGTCTTTTCTGTAGCCCTCAGGCAAGAAACTCCAGAGAGCAACTGCAAAGCTCATTCTGGTTCTGCTGAAAGCAACTGGAGCTCTGCCACAGTCAGGACTGGTGCACCTCTTAGACCTGGGAATCCATAAATACACAATTCTAAGCAAAAAAAACAGTTCCTTGTAAATATACACGAAATATATAAATCTTTCTTCCTCTCTTCATCTGGACTCTTCTTCTATTATTTGCCTGGAAGATCTTCATTAGTCTTTCCAAGAGTCTATGGTTGACACAGTGCAAGCTGGGATACCCAGTTTGCTCCATGGCAAAAAGCCCCCAAACTAGGAAAAATCTAACATTATACCTGTCATCATTGTTTATATGCCCTGATAGAGGTTACAAATGCCAGGTACCAGGACAGACATCAGGCTTGCGATCAACATTTTAAAATGCATTCTCAATTGGAATTAGGAAAAAATAGATAATTTGGAAAATATAAGTGTTCTTGTAATTGGAACACGCTGGATGACCACAGCTGTTTATTGAACTGCACTGGGCTGTTAAACCCCACACTGACAATGAAAGTGAATTCTTGGCTCATGTCAGCATGGGACCTTTTTACTCAGAAGCAGAATTTGGAGTCTGGCAAGAGGCACATTCTCTGTGTCCCATGTCCCTCCCATGTGTTCCCCATCCTGTAGCTACTTCCCTGCCTTAGTCCTTGCATGGCCTGGCCACAGCATGGACATGGACAGGGGAAGGAGATCATGCAGGTGACTGGAAATGGACAGGAAAAAACCCCCATATTATATATATATGTATATGTATGGAATAAGTGACACATATGGAGTGCAGAATGAGAAAGATTATACTATCTCGTTTAAAAATATGTTGCCTAAAGTCTTTGAAACCTAAACTCTCTTCTGTGTCAGTATCTGTCAAGAGTGACCCAGCCGTGAGAAAAACACCCATCAAAAAACAAGCGCTGAAACTCCACCTGGAGCCTTTCCGCAAAGATTCGGCCCGGGAGAGGTTTGTGAGGATGGTTTTCCCTTTTTCCCGTTAAGGCACTCTGCAAGCACGGATGCTCCGTGCCCGCTGGCCGCTGTGGCGGGCGCTGCCCTCCGCCCCGGCCCCGCAGCAGCCCCTCTGGGTACCGAGGGAGTGGTACCGGCACCGGCACCGGCACCGTCACCGGCGGGTGCGGTGCGCGCGGGGCGCCGCGGCACCGATTAACCCCGCAAGGACTCTCGGGGCTCCGCCCGCGCCGATGCATGAATGGAGCGGCCCCGCCCCGAGCGGCGGCGCCGGCCCCGCCGGCCGCACGTGCGGGCGGGCCGGGGGTGCGCGGTGAGAGGGGTGCGGGGTGGGAGGGGTGCGCGGTGCGCGGTGCGGTGCGGTGCGGGTGGGGGCGCCGGTGCAGCGCGGAGAGTGCGCGGGGCGAGACGGGTGTGCAAGGTGCGGGGGCTGTGTGCGGTGCAGGGGTGCGGTGCGGAAGGTGCGGGGGTGCGTGCGGTGCAGGGGTGCGGGGTCAGACGGGTGTGCAAGGTGAGCGGGGTGTGTGCGGTGCGGGGGTGCGGTGCGGAAGGTGCGCGGTGCGGCGCGGGCTGTGTGCGGTGCAGGGTGTGTTGAGAGTGGCGTGTGTCCGGTGCGGGGAGTCCGGTGCGGGGAGTCCGGTGCGGGGTGTGCGGTGCGGGGTGTGCGGTGCGGGGTGTGTGGTGCGGGCTGTCCGGTGCGGGGTGTTCGGTGCGGGGTGTGCGGTGCGGGCTGTCCAGCGCAGGAGCCGGAGGAGCCGCTGCTGCCCCTTGGGACCGGGCACGGTCGGGAACAAAAACGCGGTAAGTGAGAGAGAGTAAGGGTAGGAGTTAGGGAGGGGGGTAAGGGTGGGGAGTTTGGTTTCTCCTTGTGGTTGGGGTGTGCAGGGAACTGGGGTGTAATCATGATGTAATGTATTCAGTGTCACATACAGACCTAGCTGATCCAGAAAGTGAAGTGTTGGTTTCTATTCAGAATTCAGATCGTTGCTGGAAAGACGTCTTTGCATTTGTTTAGAGCAGAAGGTGAGCGTTTCTGCATTGGAAAGAAGTTCCTGTGACAGCAGCACGGGATGGTCAGGGAGCCTGCTTGAGCCCAGAGCTCACCTGTGAAGTTCTTGCTCTTCTTGCTGTGTGAGAGAGTGTGTGGTCCCAAACCAGCCTGTTTCTGACACACCACTGGTACTGCTCCCCAGCAGGGAAGACTGGGGTTGACCTGCCATGCCTCACTCGCTGCTTCAGCCATCCAGGTCACAGGTGACAGGGTTTCTTGAGGAGTTTGACCATTACTCTTCCCTGGCCAAACTCATGTCCATCTACCACGCGACGAACAGGAGCATCTTCAACTGGACAGAGAGCCGCATTGTTGAGTGGGAGAAGTTTGCTGAGCTGGCTAAATATGAGCCAGAATCCCAGAAACCAACAGTGAAAGCGCTGCTAATCATGGCATACTCGGTCATTATCGTCATGTCTCTCTTTGGGAACATGCTGGTGTGCCATGTGGTGCTGAAGAACAAGAGGATGCACTCAGCCACCAGCCTCTTCATCGTCAACCTGGCGGTGTCAGACATCATGATCACACTGCTCAACACACCTTTCACCTTGGTAAGTAGCTGGTCTTGCTGTCCCTTCAACCAGGACAGGAGTCTCCCACCCACCAGAACTCTGCCTGGTGGTCACAGGCTTTCCATGCACTCTCTCCTAGGGCTGAGGTGGGAACCCAACACCACCAAGTCTAACTGATAACTCTACCAGGCAAGTAAAACACTGTTCAGCAACCTGTGGGCTCTCTGTTGCTCTGTTAGACTCTGTAACTCCTAGAAACTCCAAAGTTTATCACAATGTGTGCTACCAAACCCCAGCAAGAGCTTTGTGGGGAATGAGAACAAGTTCCTGTGTTTTTAATGTTTGTGCAGGAGAGCACTAGAGAGTCCCTTAGTGGATCAGAACACTCTGAATGTCAGTCATACTGGGTGACTGGAATAAAGTAGTCAAGCTTTTCAGAGATGCCAGCTGGATAAAGGCTTCAATGAAAGCTTTCCAAATCTGACAGTGGGGTTGATATCAAACCTTGGCCCACTTTTTCCAAATATAGTTGTTAGTGTAATAAAAAGTTTTTATCACTGTTCACAATGTCTGTAGAACTGGCCAGGAGGGCTGTGGCATCACCACTTCATAGTAAGTGGGGTTTGACTCTCTAAACTGTTCTGTAAAGGAGTTTCAGAGACCAGGATAGCTGATCTTTCTATAAGTTTCAGGTGAAGCTGCCCAACCAGCCAGACCCCCTGGGCGAGCTCAGGTTCCAGCCACAGGACTTGTTGGAAAACAACCCAAATCCTCCTGGATTCATTTTCACCACATTTTCTGGCTGATGAGCTGTTGTTTCCCCTCAGGTCCGGTTTGTGAACAGCACGTGGGTTTTTGGGAAGGCCATGTGCCACATCAGCCGCTTTGTGCAGTACTGCTCCCTCCACGTGTCCACACTGACCCTGACGGCCATCGCTCTCGACAGGCACCAGGTGACACTGCCTGCCCCTTTACTTTCAAGGCTCTGAGAGGAGACTTGAGCTATGATAAGTTTTTCTGTCCGTGGCCATGACAAATGCTGGCTCTGTGCAGAGCAGTAAGGACAGCCCAGGCCATGTGCTTGTCCCCAGCAATCACTCCCCTTTCATGTGCCATTGTCAAATAGTAAGTTCCAGATTATCAGATTTTATCAACTTAAAGATCTAACAAAGAAAATCTCATGAAAGGAGAATTTCTGCCTCAGCAGAGAGGAAGAAAGCTCAGCTTCACAGGCCCAGCTGGAACAAGAGATGTTTTTTATATAGTTCATATAGAATAAAAAACATACCCTTGAGTGAAGACACTTGGGTAGATATCTTCCCTTTTTTTTTTTTGACCTAATGTAACCTCCAGTTTAAGGAAAACAGTTCTCACATTACAAGATTGAGGATAAAGTTTGAAAGCTCTTCTGAGCAGATTGAGAAGTTCAATGTTTCCCATTTTCCAGGTCACTCTAATGACAGGACATTTTCCTAATCATGGCTGTCATTTTCCTATCATTAGCTGTGTTAGGTTATGTCACAAACTGCCCACTCCTCTTGTGGGCTGTGAGGACCTTTGCTTCCTGTGGGAGAAGAGTCCCGATGGAGTCTCTGTTGCAGGTCATCCTGAACCCTCTGAAGCAGAGGATGTCCCTGACAAAGGGAGCTCTGAGCATCTCTGTTATCTGGCTGATGGCAACCTGTTTCTCCCTGCCCCATGCTGTCTATCAAAAGCTTTTCCAGTATAACTACAGGTGAGTGATCTCCCCTTCCCAGTGAGCATGTGGAGGCCTGGCAGCCCCTGTGCAGTGCCACTTGCTCAGCAGGGAGGGCACCTGAGCGTCCCAGGCACGGGATGGGTGATGTGGGATGAGAGGGAGTTGGTGTATGGGTGGCATCCCACTTCCCCCAGCAGAGGCTGGGGCTGTGGAAGAGCTGCCTGGCCTGTGCTCTGCCTGGCTTGCTGTCCAGGGTTTGCTGTTGCCACCTCCTGCGTGCCCAGATGAGGATCTGGGTCCACTCCCAGCCACGTGCTGGGGCAGTCCCAGGCACAGCCTGGCTAGGGCACAGCTGTTGGCAACACAACCTCCTCCAGTGCCATGGCCTTGCCAGGAGAGGCTCTGTCCTGAGAAGGTAATTTTCTCCTGAGGGACTTTCCTCTTCCCTCCTTTTGCCTGCTCAGCTCCTCAGACCCAGCAAGACCAAGCCCATCCAACTCGCCCAGGCAGGGAGGAGAGACAAAGTCAAACTGCAGTTTCAAAAAGAAAGAAAATAAACTTCCTGTTGGGAATACCTGTGCTGACATCACCAAGGCTCTGCAGGGAGCAGGAGCAGGGGACCACCCTGGTTTGTCAGCAGGGCTACTGATCCCTCTTCCTCAGGATTTCCTACATTGAGTCTCAGGTTGTGACTTCCCATGTGGATTTAGGAAGCAGGACCAACCTTCCCTGAAGCTTGAGGTTCCTCTGCCCGATGTTACACTAATGAGAAAAACATAGAGAACATACATTCTTCATGAAGCAGGGCTGTGGGGGACCAGTGGTGCAGGTGAGGCACCAGTGCTTTGGCAGGAACTGGAGCTCTCCTGGTGTGCCATGGTGCCTCTTCTCAGGAAAGGGAACTCTTTGCTTGGCTGAACACAATAACAGCAGATGAAGTGAAATTTCACATCAACATAAGGATAAGGATTGAAATACCAGAAAAAAAGAGAAGGTTCTAATGTGGAGAGAAAGAAAGAAAAAGAAAAAAAATTAAAAGGAGAAGCTTATCTCCCCACAAAAGACCCAGCAATGGCACTTGTCTCTGCTGTCACTCTCTGCCAGGGAGAAATACAAACCCCAAACTCTGGGGCTCTTTTCCCTTGCAGTCCTTTCCTCTGTGGTACCCAACCTGTTCTGTCCCTCCTGTCCCCACCAGCCTGTGGCATTGCTGTGACCTCTCTTGTCTAGAAAACAGTCTGTAACAGTACCCAAGTGGGATTTTTGTGGCAGGTGTCACACTGCTGGTGCTGCCCTTCGCAGGAATCCCAGCCTTGAGGCCAAGGGGATAATCTTACCATGACCTGTATTTTCAGGCTGAGATCAGCATCCAAGGGAGTGGGGCAAGGAGACACTGACAGGCAGCAGGAATGAGATTTCTATTGTAGACATTGACCTTCTGTATAAAGGACAAATCTAATTTCCTGCAGCCCAGCCAGATCCCTCCTGTTGATGAGGCAGGAGAGCGTGAGTGCCTGCCTAGGCTGTCTGTGCTTTTGGTGTCCAAGGGGCTACACCAGCTGGAAGTGGGATGGGGGCTTCACAGCCCTCCCCTGCCTGTGCTTGTGCCTGATGTGCTGCCATAGCCAGGGGATATCATACTCGAAGTGCAGACTGTAAACACAGGGCAGGGTTACTCCGTGCTTGCGTTGCTCCGCAGCTGTGCTTGGGGATTAGGGAACAAATTGCTCATGAATGAACGAACCCTACGATCTGTTTCGGGGCACCTGTCTCTGTTCATCCTTTGGCATGGCCAGAGGAAACCGAGCCCTGTGTTGGCACGAGGCAGCTCAGCAATATAAGGACTTCCAGGACATGCTATTCCTGTCCTTGCTTTCCATTGAAAAAAAAAAAAATCGCAGTTGTAATATTGCTTGTAATAGCTCCTGCAGGGTCAGGGCTTCTGGGATTGCTTCCAGGGAATGGTTAGGGTTCTGGGATAGGAAACAGGGGCTCCACCAACATCCCTCTCTGGCTGCACTACGCAGCAGCCATCTGAGTCCCTGATCATATCAGCACTCACCGAAACACTCTCCTGTCAGATCCCCTTTGGCAGGTCTCCTCTACCAGTGGTGAGGTCGCCCAGATCCAGGGGAGGAAAAGGCAAGACTGCAGTTGAAAAAAGATGATTCTCCCTTCTGTGTCAGTTCCCATCTTGCGTGGCATCTCCAGGTCCTCTGTACTTGGTGAACCCATTGTCACTCCTCTGACCTCATCCCCTGCTCCAGCGCCTGTTCTCAGCAATCTCCTATTTGTGGCACAAAAGGCAGCTCCAGCAGTTGAAAACAGGACATTAAAGATATTAATCAATACTGCAGTGGATAGTACAGCTTGATGGGGGCTCAAATCTCTGCTGAATAGAGGACAACCAAGGACAAGGGATGAAGAAAGAAGAGTAAAATGGAATAAGAGAAAGAAAAAGAGAGGAGAAAGGAAAGAAAAAGAGAAAACATCCACTGGAAATAAATTCCATTACTCCAGCTGCAGGGTGTGGAGGGGACATGTGGTACAGTGAAGGGTGATGGGATGAGAGCCACTGCTGACCTGGCAGTGGGAACACACCCAGATCCTGGGGCTGGATGGGATGGGACAGGTGTGAGAGGTTGTTAAAATGAGCTGTTGTGTATGGTTACACTTTCTTTTGTTAGTTCATTGTCAGTGGTTCAACTGGAGCCAAGTGAATAATCATCACACCAGTTTTAAGAGGTAGCAGGAAGGTTGTAGGAGCTGATGGCAAGGGAATGGTGGGTAGGCAAGGGAAGGGAGGTGGGTTGGTCATGCCTGTGAGGCTTTCTCACAGCCTCCAGCCCTTTCCTCCCCTCCAGAACAGCTTTGGCTTGGAGCTGATGCAGTGGCTCTGGCTGGGGGATCCTGTGCAGGGGGTATGGCAGAGCAAGGGGTCCCGGCTGCTGGGGGACACAGCAGGGTGGCTGCTCCCATGGAGGGCAGGGGCTGCAGGTCAAGCCTGAGAGAGACTTGCCAGAGCTGTGGCTCTGTGTCCTCCCACTGTCCCCACTACACCTCTGAGCAGGTGGCTGTGGGCAGCGTGAGACCCCCACTGTGGTTTGCCGAGCCAGCAGCACCCATGGGACAGCAATGGCTACATGCCATATCTGAATTTCTGTTTTCAAGGGAAGCCACTGTCCGGAGTCTGTGCCTCCCTGACTTCCCTGAGCCTGCAGAGTTGGTCTGGAAGTATCTGGACCTGTCTACCTTTCTTCTTCTTTACCTCCTGCCTCTGCTGATCATCACCATCACCTACATGCGCCTGGCCAAGAAGCTGTGGCTCCGCAATGCCATCGGGGATGTCACCATGCAGCAGTACGTCACCCACCACAGGAACAAGAAGAAGAGCATCAAGATGCTGATGCTGGTGGTGGTGGTCTTTGCAGTCTGCTGGTTCCCCCTGAACTGCTACGTGGTGCTGATCTCCAGCCTGGGCATCAAGACGAAGAACTCACTCTATTTCGCGCTGCACTGGTTCGCCATGAGCAGCACCTGCTACAATCCCTTCATCTACTGCTGGCTGAACGAGAGCTTCCGCACGGGGCTCCGCTCCCTGCTCTGCGTCTGCCAGAAGGTGCCACAGCCTCAGGAGCAGGCGCTGCCACCCAGGCCCGTGTCCTGCCGCGAGGCGTGGCTGGAGCAGGCCAGGTGCAGGAAGGGACCGGCCTCCCAGGCCAGCTGCTCCACCAGGAACCTCCCGACGGCCAGCACGGACCTGTGAGCCACGGGGTGAGCGGAGTTACCTGCTTGTGGGGGGCACCAAAGGGCATCTCCCACTCTCTTCTCAGGAACCTGCATTGTTGCTCTGTTGTTTTACTGCTGATTTTTGGCTTGTCTTACTAACAAGAGCCCCTCCTCTGCTTGGCATGGTGGGCACACAACCTCTCCAGCACTCTACCAGTAAAACCCACGCTGCAGCCGGCCAGGGGGCAGGAATATGTACAGGGGACATGGAGCTTCTCAAACATCGTGATCTGCTTTCAGGTTTTCCCATTTATTGCTATCAGAGGGAGTGGACCCAGGTTTCTGTCAGTGGCTGTAACATGTATCATAACGTGGGGCTCTGCACAGCAGCAGGAACAAATCCGTGATGACAGATGTCTGAAGGAAGGACTTGGGCATGCAGATGTGCTCCATCCACAGGGAGCCTCACCAATTAGTGTATAGCAAAGCCTCCTACAGAGGTAAGGATTGTTTACAGAGATTTTGCTGTCAGATTCTGCTGCTCCTCCTGCCCTGTCTCTGTCCCACCCTCAGCAGCTGGAAGCCAGCCCCAGACAAGGGGAGCAGGGATGCACCCCAGGAGCCATGGCCGTTGGCTCAGATGGCACGATGACAGATTAATGTAGTCCACTGAGAAGTTCTTTTTATTATAAATATATTTATTCAGTAAAGAGAACTACACTGGCACTTTATAAAAGGCCACAAAATATTTCATCAGGGCTGTAGCATTCACTCACTGAAGAATGGAATCATTCTGCATTGTTACTACTTGCTGTAAAAGTCTCATTTAAACAACAGGAGGGCAAGAAAGGGCTGGAAGGAATCTTCTGTGAGGAGCAAGCAAGGACTCTGGGGCTGTCTAGTTGGTGCAAACCAGGTGATGGATTTCAGTAGCCCAAGGGCAGCCGTGTCTGCTGTGGGGGTTCCTGGTCTGTCCTGGTGATAGCTCAGACAGATCCTCAGCCCAGAGAGGCAGTGGGGGAGCTGGGTGGCTTGAGGGAATAAGAACATACTCCCACCACCTTCCCAGGGGAGAATAAGCCAGACCAAAGAAGGGAAATTAAGGACTGATTTTTATGTTATTTTTTTTTTTGTTGTTATTTTCAGTTTTTGCAGTGGGAAGGAAAAGGACAGAAAGGAGGGGGATCCTAGCTTCAGGCCACTTGACCCCTGCTGGGCACCTTGGGTGTGCACTGCAGTGCCTGCACCAGAAGAAAACAGCAGAACACGAGGAGTGGCAGCAAGAATGGATGAATACTTCATCCCTGAGGCACTTTGCTTGGAGCTCACACTTATTGAACATGGGAATTCAAAGCTGTGCTGGTTGCCAGCGCCGTCCTCTCTCAGTGTACAGAAGGGTTTGTTTTCAGTCAAAAAACATCACTGTGAGTTTCTCAGAATGTTAAGACAATCTCTAATTAATAAGCATCACCTCATTTAATTAGTAAAAGAAGCTATCGTTTGTTTTTTTCCTGTTCCTTGCTCCTCACTAGCTTTTGGTGAGCAGCTCTCAAACTGCCATGTATTGTCTTTAATATTTATTAGGTTTGTTTTTCTTCCTTTCTTTCTTTAAATGGCTGAATAACCTTTTTGTGGAGGAGTCCAAGCCCTTACTCCAAAGAAGGGGTCTCACCACGCTGCCTTGATCTTCTGCTAATCCCTGTAGTTATCTATCTCTTGCTGTCAGAAATAACCTGGCTGGTTTTCCTTGGATCTGTCAATCGCAGCATCTCCTCGTTGCTGAATTTTTCTCCCCTAAAAGGGCAGGATGTAAGAGCTGAGTGTATCGAATCTCCGTAATGGCTCAGCTATCTGGACTGATAATTATCAATGCCTGAGTGAGAATCAGAACTTTGTATGCTTTGCCCAGTGCCTCAAGGCTCCTGTGTCACTTGAGGATGCCCTGACGCCCAGCAGCTCTCAGGCAAACATAAATGCACAATATATATATAAAAAGCATAACCTGAGCATCGTTTGACCAGGGCACGGACAGTGCCTGGGGAGCAGGAGGCTGCATCTCTGCTGGACTCCAAGCCAGCCTCTGGAAAAGGGAATCTGTGAAATTCGGCTTCTGCTGGGTCTGAGTCAACTCAGTACATAAATAGATGCTTAAACATTCCTTATAAACATTCCTTGATGTGTCTCCATCCCGCCGGGCACCTGTGGAAATGGCGCTGAGCGGCGCCGGGATCCCAGGGGGAGCTCCCGGGGAGCGGAGCAAGGCTGAGCTCCGCTCCCGGCCGGCCAGGGCTGCTGGGGCAGCACAGCAGCGCTCTTTGCTCCCTGCACACACCACCCTGGGACCCGACAGGAGTGTGGGGTGCGAGGAGAATCCGCCGGGAAGCCTCTGCCACCAGGAGACCCCTCCTTCTTCCTCCCGGTGCCCCCGGTGGCTGCGGCGCGGCTCTCTCGGCAGGCAAAGCCCCCGGGAGAGTTTGGAGGGCAAATTATTGAAACACTGAGTCACCACAAGTCTACTCCCGGGAAACTATTTGAGCACACACAAATCAGCGTGCAAAGATCCAGCGAGACATGTCTGAGTGATTAACAGCCCGAATTTATTAAGGTTAGCTCATGCCAAATGCAGCAGAGTGCCTTCAGCAGAGTTGCTGATGAAGACGATAACAGGGAACGCAGTGCAGGGGATACCTGAATTCCAGAGACAAATCCTCTTATATAGCCCCACCACATAATGAACAAAGAAACCACAACATGCCAACTAGATTAACAAAAAGCTAGCAGAAAAACCCCCACAATGAGTCAGAAAATTAGCTCAGGAAGGAGAAACAGAATACAATTATCATCACTTAGCTCTTCAAGTGGAAAACAGTACGGAGGGGCTGGCCAAAGCACGCTGCAGGGATAAGGGGGAATGTCCTCGGTTAAATCCAGCTTAAGCCCTGGATGTTGGGGTGTAGGTGGGCCAGTGTCAAACCATCATCTTGCACTGAGAAGTAACTCGGTGTCTTAGGTCAATCACACAGCAGAGGAGGAAGAGGGAGGAAGGAGCCTGGCCCTTACCTGGGAGACTGGATGTGAAAGGCACACCCCGAATTCCCGCGTGGGAGATGATGTGCAGCCGCCCTGTGCCCCAGGCAGCAGCAGCAAAGTCTCTCCCTGGAGCTGGGGCACACAAGCTCTGCTCTCTCACTGACTGTGGAGACAACCTGTCTGCCCCCCAAAGACGCCACCTGCCCCCACAGAGCCCACCTGCCCCCCAAAGAACTCACCTGTGCCCAGAGACCCGCCTGCTCTCCCCCGCTGCCTCCTCCCGCCACCACTCCTGCTCTGCGGTGGGCAAAGGAACGCGTCTGATCTCCCAGGCTTTGGAGGGAGCCCAGGCAGGAATACCGGCAAGTGAGGACAGGTTTAGCACCAGGCACGGGCTGCAGGCAGCGCTTGGTTTGAAGACTGATGGCATTTCACAAGCTGCCCTGTCCCACCAGTGCTCAGCAGTGATCCCCACCCCAGTTCCCGGGTCTGCTCCCAAACTGCTCCCCTGAGGTGATACCAGAGCACTCTCCGAGCTTGGCTCGTCCCAGTCTGAGCCCAGCAGGTACATTGGAGGCGTCTCCTCGCCCAGATGTGCTGCAGATGTTTCTGCACTAGAGCAGATGTTCCTTGGGGTCCCTGCTGGGCAGGGGCCAGCAGCAGGTACCAAAGGCTGCTCTGAGCAGTGCTGGGAGAGCCAGGAGGGAGCAGCCCGAGCAGGCAGGGGTGTGGGTGCTGTGCCTGGGGTGTGCTGGAGCCAGCCCTCCCTCGGGAGGTCACATGGAGCCTCCACAGGCAGCAGATCAAAAGCACCTCTTGCCCTGCTCCCCATCCCTTGGTGTTTTGTTGTTTGCCCTGATAATAAGGGCTGAATTAATGCACTTAGTTCTTGATTGAAGTTTCACTCCCCCAGCAGCCCACACTGGCTGATGCTGCTCAGTTCAGTAGTGCCAAATTGTAGAAGTGGAGAGCAGCTGTCACTTAAGCAGACGTGAGAGGGCAAAAATAGTAATAAACACCCCAAAAGCCACAGGCTGAGCTCTGCAGGAACCAGGTCTGGTTGTACAACACAATAGTCTGTCACTTGAAGAGACTTCTCCATGACAGGCCCATAAAAGTCTCCTTGGCAGATGAGAACAGACTAATTGCTTTATAAGATCAGATGAATGGACCATCTAATGCATCTGCTGGAGACAAACCCAATTGCTTTATGGGACACTGTAAGGGGCAAGCACGGGGAGTGTCCCCATTAATGGAATTCCTGCTTATTACTTCACAATTAATGGGCCTTCAGAGCATAAAGGTTTATATCCTCTATGTCATTCCCACATGCTTTCATTGCATACATCTGTATCCCATCCATGCTGTGTCCTGCAGGCTGTGGGACCTTGGTGGTCTCCTGCTCCAGGATTTCCACTCTGCAGGGACCTGGTGTAGCTGACAGCAACAACAGGGATTTTCAAAGCCTCATTTTGACCATTTCTTGCTGTTCCTACAGCACTGCAGAAGTAATTTCCATTTCAAGCCCACACTTGGAGCCAAGATGAACACCACCATCAGTGTGATTCCTGGTGCCCAGACTGTGTGTACTGTTAGGAGATAATTTATGATACCTAACAAAAATGATGGCAGCAAGTTTCAGAGCAGCAGATTTTGTTCCTATTTTTGAGACAGACAATGTTTTTTTGCAGCCACATCCTGCCTCAGGCAGTTTTCCACAGGAATTAAGCAATCAATTAATCAATGGCCTTAACATTTTGCAGCTTCCTTCTCCTTCCACAGCTTATTTTGACCTTTTGCTGGTGATACAGGCCAAACGTGGCAGAATTCAGAATACAAGGAGTGCCTGGATTCCTTCTGTGATGGATTTACCACATTTCCATCAGTGGGGAGTTGCAGTAGGCTGGGTGGCTCTGGGCTGTTTTGGACAGTTTAATTTGCTTCTGAACTGTGATACACTGCTCAGACCTTTCACATTCAGGTTAATAAACCAAGTCTCTCCTAAAGGCTGGAAAGGAATTGAGTTTTAGTTTTTAGCATTACAGTTCTTCTTCCACAGTATGTTGTCATTCCTGAACTCCTCTTCACAGTTCAGTTATTTAAGTGTTTGTCTCCATTTCCCACCCTGTTCTGGAGTTAAACCCACCAGTTGCTCGTGCTGAGGAACAGTGACTGATGCCAACTGTTCCCTCGTGGATGGCAATAGCTGCACTCCAAATAAAGTCTTAATGCAGTGTCCCTTTCCTCTTTATGTTCATGTTTCTATGGCAGGACGTGAATTTCCCCCCCATTATTAAATGTGACACACCCTCTGTTCTATTTAACAGAATTGCACTAACTTGCCTTCCTTTGCCTTCCATTCGGGAGAATGTAAGTATTTTGCTGTCTTGCACAGCTTGCAGGGCAGGATGTAGGGATATTCATTCTCCAGGGGAGCTGTTATGATTAGCAGAGCTAATAAAAACCATGAATATTTAGCAATATATTCAGGCATTTCAGCTATAAATGGGAACATCTTCAGCACTTGACTGATTCTCAGCTTCTTTGTGAAACCAAGTTGTCAAATTGTTTGTTTTGCCTTTGTTTCTCCTGCTCACTGTGAAGGAAGGAGGGATTGAGGGGGAAGGTGAGACAAGGGTCCTGTTTTCCTATCTGCAGTGTTGAGCATTGCTTACACCGTCTCTGCTCCCCCTCCCTGTACAAAGTGGGGACAGGAGCCTTTCCCCCATTCCATTTCTGCCTGTATTGATGTGTTTGTGCCCACACACACACTCTGGATGCCAAGCTGCCATTTTTAATGCCTTTCCATGGCTGCAGGGCAGGAGCACAACCCTGTTGGTGCCCAGGGCAGAGGGTGTGGGGCACATCTTTGGGAAGACCCTCTGGAGAGGACCAGGGTAAGACCGTGGAGCAGAGCAGCTCACAGCCCGCCTGCTCTCACTGGAGATGTCCTGGGGCCAGGGCAGGGTGGGAGCCCCAGCCTGGGTCGTGTCTGGCTTGTGTGACTTTGGAGGTGGCCAGGGCACAGACCTGGGGCATTGTGTGCTCCTTGATCCAACATGTTAATATGAGCTGTAGGAGGCAAGAAATGATGAACATTGGCTCTGTTGTTGTTGTTGTACTTGATTGGGGTGATTATTTGTAATCCTGTAATTCCTTCAAGCCAGCTCAGAGGAGAATGAGGGGGAAGAGGTATTTAAGGGGTTGTAAAAACACTGTTCTTTTGCTAAAATTCCATCCCTATTGCTGCTGCATTGGAAGGCAAACCAGCCCAGTGCCCAGGCTATGAGCTCCCATTAATTGTCACGGAGAAACAGCCTGGCCAGGCTCAAAAACCTCATTTACCACCAGGGCTCAGGGCAGGAATATAGCAATTTCATTTGGATAATAATGTATTTTTGAAGGATAATAATAATTATTGGCATCAGGTTGTCCCCAAAGACAGTGGTTTTTTGCCTCCAGCACAGCTCTGGCATTGGAGCTGGATTTGTTTCCCCTTAAAAATGAACAGCTGCTGCCAATAAAAAGAATAAGGACTTTTTTGTTGTTGTTTTGTGGTGGATGTTGCTCACAGTTTGGTCCTAGATGAGATGGTTTGCTCTCATTAATGTTCCCCCAAGCATTCTGCCCAGTTCCTCAGAGTCTGGTGGCTCTTTTGCCCACTGAGGCTGCAGGTGATGGTGGCACCCCTGCACAGGCACCCAGCAGCCTTGGAGTCTGTAACCCAAACATGCACTGTGCAGCTTTTCAGCTGCTGTTTGAAAGTCCCTGTGAGTGAACTGACAGGTTGGGAAGGTGAGTGTGGAAGAAAGAAGAACAACACATTTCTGCCTCCTGGCAAACACATCCAATTGAATAATGTGCTGCAAAATGTGTGTTTGCCTTTGCTTGTGATTGCCCTCGTGTCCTGCAGAGACACAATGAGGTAAGAACTGAATGTGCAGGGGAAGCCTGGGGGAAATACAGAATGAGAAAATCAGAGAAGAAACAGTAAAAACACAACCTGTGGGGAAGGAAAGGAACTTGGGTATGGAAATTCATGTCTCTCTAACGGATTTCAGTCTTCAATTTTAGCAATGAAAATTTATCTGCCAGAT